TAGAGATCTGGCAGCTCAGCAAGATGGGCTTAATCGAAAATTTACTTTAAAGCTCTCTAGTTTTGTGCTTACCAAATTTATCCGGTTTATCATCGAAGTTTTAAATAAACCATCAGAGACAAGTAGAGACTAGAAAGTAGGCGTGAAAAAATGTCCCAAAAATCGCTGTATTTCGGTCTCTTTGCTATGTTTGTTGAATTATCCCAAAGCTTATGTTGCCATGTCGTTTTATTTATAGCATGTAATGCAAAAATAATGGTTTTGTTTCCTTATCTAATCCATTGACGAAAAACCGCACATGGTGTTGCCATTTGGGAGTTGATAATTAACGGCACCGCTGCTTGCTGCAATCGCTAACCCTACTTATGCCTTATTTTGACGGCTACCCATATAAACATTAATATATATGTTTTTTGTTTGAGATTATTGAGTTTTGTGATTTGTGGTTTGATATCGAATGCGTGATTGTGGTCAGTTCTTAGTTTGTGGCGTGTTTTTAGTTGTTGGTGGGTTCTGTTCGGCACGCTTTGTTTATGTTGCATGGCTTTTGTTACTGGGGTTTTCGGTATATCGGGTTTTCGTCTGTATAATGCTAGGAAATTTGTACAGTATATTAATTTAGTAAGATGCCCATGCCAGCAAGCAGCTAATATGGAGAGAATTTGTCGCAAAGTTTCGGTAAGTTTCAAAGCTTAATTCCCGAAAAATTATACGTCAAAAACCGTTTTTAAGTTGGTAAGAATCCAACACTATCCAGGGTATCGGACTACTGGGTGTCTTCGCGAAGATGTTGATCCTCCAGCAGCCGGGCAAAAAAATAAACAGAAAGTTGTAGATTTTTTTAGTTGACAGGTAAAAGTTTTTTTTATGTGCATTGATTGATTGTCTTAGTATTAGGATTATTCCTGTTAAACAATAAACAATTGAATTGAATTGAGTAAAATGAATAATAAGTTTCTTGTTGGTCTTGTCTCTGAACAAGGAATATTTTCCGCCCAAAATCAGTACTTCTCCACTTTCGAAGAAATCAACAACCTGCGTTACCTAGAAACCGTCCCTGGTGACGTGTTTCCGGTCACACATAAACCTGATCGTCCAATCGCTTGTCGACTCTTTGAATACAAGACATGCACCATGGCAACGAGTAAATACAAACACATCAGCTCTGAAATCAGCTGCCAGTAAAGCGGTATTTATTGCAATTGAAGTTTTAAATTAACCGGTT